ATCCACACATGTACACACACATTTTCTTTATCCATTTATCTGATAGACTCTTAGTTTGTTTCCATATCTTGCCTATTGTGAATACTGCTACAATGAATATGGAAGTGTAAATATCTTTTTGAGATACTGATTTTATTTCCTTTAAAAATACACACAGATGTGCAGTTGTTGGATGGCATGTATTATTGATTGTCAAGCTGATTGGCTAGAAAAATTAATCAAGCACATTTCTTTGTATTTTTGGGCTGGTCATACAGGTGTGACCTTGGAGACTATATCTGGTCATTGGCCCCTTCCTCTCTGGTACACTTCCCCTGTGTGTTGCTTCCCAGTCACTATGAATTGAGCAACTTTGCTGTCCCATGCCCTTCTACTATGATGGTCCTCCTTTGGAGCCAGTAAACCATAGACTACAGTTTCTGAAACTGTGAGGCAAAATAAATCTCTCTTCCTTTAAGCTGTAGTGTTAATTTGCTCTAGCAATAGGACAGCTGACTGACTGTTAATCATGATATATAAACTTGACTGGATTAAGAAATGCCTATCAGATTAGTAAAGTACTCTTCTAGGTGTGTCTGGGAAGGTCATCAAGGTATGACTTTGGCTCCTCCCTCTCTGGTACTTTTATACTGCTCTGCTTTCTGGTTACTGTGAACTAAATATCTGTCTTTTCTCTACCATACCCTTTCACCATGATGCTACTCCCTTGGACCTAGCTGACATCAACCAAATCCCCTGAAACTATGAGATAAATTAAACCTCTTCTTTAAGCTGTAGGTCTCAGGTATTGTGTCCTCGTAACATGAAAACTAATATAGAAAATTGGTATTGGGGAATGGTCATTATTGTGACTGTGCCTGATCATGTGATTTGGAAGTCTTTGGAAATGGTTTAGGGAAGTAGTTTCGAAAGTTTGGGAGATAGAGGGTAGAGCAGTCTTAGAATGTTGTAAGCAGAGCCTGATAGATGATTCTGGCCATAGCTCGAAAGATTAGAGTCCTGATAGGAATGTGGGTAGTAAAGGCCAGGCTCAAGAGAGTAAAGTTGAGTACAAAGGCTCCATTGGCAATTAGACTAGAAGCCATGTGTAATACACTGTGGCAAAAAATTTGCCTATCATTTCATTTTTCATGAGATTTTGAGGGAACTGAGATTAAGGGTGATGGATTGATTGATCTGGCAGAGGAAATTTCGAGGCAATCCACTATTTAGGCTGTCACATGGGTGTTTTTTATAGTGAGAATTAGGGGCAAAAAGAAAAAAGGATAAATTTGAAAAACATGTTTTGGCCCAAAAGGAGCCATGGGTAAAGTTGGGGCCAAAAGATGTGTGGTTGCTGAAGAGACCAGTGTCAATGAAAAGAAGTTAAGTACTTTTCTACAGGGACAAGGAAAAAGATGCCTTGAAGGCATCTCAGGAATTGGTAAAACCCCACTCATTGTAGGCCAAAAAATGCAAAAGTGTAAATCTTTCACTTGAAAAGAGTATCCTTGGGACATCTGCTAGAGAAGGGCTATCTAGGGAATTAGCTCTCCGGGATTCATTCATTTCATTCTGCTTCACTGTCCATGCATGCAAATGCTGCCACTGCCATGACTGAAGGGGCCTGAATACTGTCCATGCTGTGGCATACCTTGGTGTCTTCCATGCAGTGTTGGTTTTATCAGCATGTAGAATGCAAGAGTTATGGGATCAGGGAGGCTTTCACCCATATTTCAAATGAAGGCATGCGAGTTCAGGCAAGGAGTCCTTGAGACAGTGTATGAAGTTGTGAAACTGAAGCCAAAGATGTGGTAAAGACTTCAGGAAGTCAGAGATGCCCCAAACATGGAATGTCTGTTGAGGGAAGCTTCAGATTAACAGAACCACCCCAAGAAAGAGGCCATATGGGATGCAACAAGTAAGGCCATAGAGTTGGAGCTGCCCAAGCCCTTTAGAACTCAAGTCTCACCAGTATGTGTTGAAGATGTCAGATATAGAGTCTTAGGACTTCATGTTTGCTTTGGCTGGTTTTGGTCTTGCTTTGGTCTATTTTTTTTCCATCCTCCCCCTGCCCTTTTGGAATGGGAATGTTTACCCGGTGCCCCTGTGCTGTTGTACCTTGGGGTTATATAACTTCCTTTTGATTTTTATAGAGGTTCACAGCTAAGAGTCTTCCTCAAGTCTCAGAAGAGTCCTTTACTTGGACATTCGAAGAATGCTGGAACTGCTGAGACTACAGGAGAGGAATTATTGCACTTTTGGTTGTACACAAAATAGTTGTATAAGATTAGGTGGAATTATCAACTTGTTATTGTTTATGTGAAGATTAAGTATGGTTTAAGGAGGTGTGTTTGGTTGTCAAATTGACAAGGGGTAGATTGTGTTGTGATATGTCAGCTTGACCAGATTAAGAAATGCCTAGCAGATAGTAAAGCACAGCCCTAGGTGTGACTGTGAGGTGTTTCCAGAGATGACTGGCACACTAGCAAACTGAGGGGGAAAGAACCACCCCATCTGTGAGTGTCACTAACCAGTAGGCTTGTAGTCTGGATTGAATTTGTTTTTTTAAGAAATAGGGGTTGGGAGTTGGTGCATTTGGAGAGCTCCAGTTTGCTTCAGTGGGTGCACCTTTTGTTGCTGTTACCTTTGGACTTCAGTGTCTAGTTTCTTCAACCTTCCAATGCAGACTAATATCACTATCTCCCCGTGAGTTTCCAGGCCTTCAGCCTTTGGCTGGTGCTATCTATTCTTGATGCCTCTTGTTCAGTGGCTTCCATATTCTTAGACTGAGCTGATACTGGATCCTCTGTCTCTCTAGTGAATTGATGGTGATTGTTAACTCTCAAACCTCTGACCCTAAGCCTACCTAATAAATCCCCTTACATAGTTATACATATATTTTGTATTAATCCTGCTCCTCTAGAGAACCCTAACCAATACACTGACCAAATCAATATAATAGTTGGAGTTTTTAATTTTTTGAGTAACCTCTATACTATTTTCTGTAATGAGTATGCTAATTTAAAGACCCACATACAGTATACAAGTGTTGCTTTTTTCCCAAACTGTTGGTAACTCTTGTTATCTTTTGTCTTTTTGGTGATAACCATTCTTAGTGGACTGAAGCAACATCTCATTGTGGTTTTGATTTGCATTTCCCTGATGATTAATAATGTTGAGTATCTTTTCACATACCTGGTGGCCATCTGAGTGTCTTTTTTGGAGAAATGTCTATTCAGGTATTTTGCCTATTTTCTAATTGAGTTATTTAATGATTTACTATTGAATTGTATGCATTAATTATATATTTGGATGTTAACTTCTTATTGGTTATATAATTTACAAATATTTTCTCCCATTTTTAAGTTGTCTTTTCATTTTGATGATTGTTTACTGTGCATAAACTTTGTTTGATGTAGTCCCATTTTTTTTAGTTTTGCTTTTGTTGCATATGCTTTTGATGTCCAATTCAAAAATAAAAACAATTGCTGAGCCCAATATCAATGAAATCTCCTTTTATGTTTTCTTTTGAGAGTTTCATGGCTTTACTTTTTGTGTTTAAGTCTTTAATTTTGAGTATGATTTTTGTGTATAAATGGATCTACTTTTGTTCTTTTTTAAATGTAGATATCAAGTTTTTCCAGCACCATTTATTGAAGATTCTATCCTTTACACATTTTATGTTTTCATTTCTAAACAAAGAAGGAAAAATATTTCTAGGAAAATAGTTTCAGAACTGCTAAATATTATACAAAGAAGAAAGTCAGTCATCAACATTGTTTTTGAAGTCAGCCACAAGATAATAATTTGTATTTTGCTCTGATGTATTCTAAGGAAAGGAATTCTTGTTCAATAAGGTTATCATGCAATTTTCATTTTTTTCTACTGGAAGTAACAGGGAATTACCCTTAATTTCTGTTTAAACATTATACAAATTTGGAGTTGGGCCTAAGTTCAAATGCCAGCTGTGCTCCTAACTAGCTGTATGATTTCAAGCAAGTCACTTTATCCCTCGAGGGTCAGTTTTATCTGTAAAATGGGTAGTACCTATCTCTCTCCCTCCTTTTATAATTTTGAAGATTAAGTGAAATATCATGTAGTATTTAGTATGGTTTATGGAACGTGGCAGATACTCAGTATTTTTGTTATTATTTGTGCCATCACTGCTGTAATTATTAACTTCACACATGAACTTTTTACTAGGTGTCTCATGTCTAATGCCCAAAATGTTGTAATCCAAACACTTAGCTGAAGGATGTTTCCAAGACTGAACTATAATTCTACTGTTCATGATGGTAGGTGATAAAAACAAGAGGTCTGTGAAAGAAAGTTCAGTCTAAATACTCAGTCATGTGCTTTAAAATTCAGGTTAAAAAATTGAAGTCCAAAAGATCTTTCTAAATATTACCTATGCAGGGAGGTGTATTTAACTATTTGAACTGAGTCACTGGAAAAAATGTTTTAGAAAAGTAATGATGAACTTGTGCAATCAAAAAGTGATCTTTACTGTTCCTTTGACAAATATAAGCTTTTGATCTAAAACTACTATCATATACTTGACATTGTTTTATAATTCCTATAATAAGAAAACTGGATTGGTATCATACTATTATGAATTTATGCATAACAGGCCATGTACAACTTTAATTGATTTATTACAATGAGATCTTTTTCTGCACAGATCAGGTGAATGTTTTGTATCAGAAGGTCAGGGACATTGCCATTTCTATTGAGAAAATTTCATTTTAAAATAATAAATATATTAGAAAATCATTTTCAATAATGACATAAAACAAAAATGCAAAATTTTTAGGTATATATCAATTATAAAACATTTTTTGCATCAACCATTGTATTTAGGATGAATAATTTTAGTTATTTTGCTACTCTGCTGAAGTCCCCTTTTTGAGCCTACACTGAACCTGTAATACTTATGGAAAGAGTTACCATAGCAACCTATATTGATGTCACAAGCTCAGGCTTCTGACTTCATTGCATAATGCAGTAGCAAGTGGATTTGCAGCAGAAACACCCTGCTAAAGAACAAGTATCTTGATTCACAGCAAAGAAGACAAAGAAAAACAGCAAGTTCTAGGGGGTTGAATCCTGGATTGTGAGTCAGATTGCCTGAGTTCTTATTTTAACCCTGCCTCTCACTTGTTGCCTTGTTTTGAGTTACTGTGTTTACATGTGTGCACTGAGATTTGAAGCAAAAAACCTCCTGTCTCTGAGACGGGAAAAGCAAAGAAAAAAGAAAAGCTAATGTCTTGCATTGGTATAAAGCTCAGTACAACTGAAGCACACTAAAAATAACTTGGAAAGGAAGGAATTACTAATGTCTGGTAATAGGTAACTAGCTAGCTCATAAAACAAAGAAGACACTTTGAAATTAAAAGCACCTAGCTAGATTTCCTATTTTTAGATTCTTGAAGTAGTAATGGACAAGATTGATGTCTCACTCTTAATTTTAGTAAGAATATAGAAAACTCATATAAATATGTCACTATATCTATATACTTAGACTTAAAAGATCTTTTTATGAATATGGAGATTAAAAGATTAATCTCTATTAATGTTTATACTGCAAATATTATATAATAAATATTTCTTCATTTTATCATGTAATTATTGATCTTCATTGGAAAATAACAATAAGTGAAATGGTTTTATTAATTTAAGATGAATTTTTTTAAAAACATAATGATACATTTTTAAAAAGCAATACTGAACCTTTCCATTGGAGTCTATAATCCATTCATTATTTCAATTGGACTAATTTTTATTATTTACTAAATTTCAGAATAGATATATGAAAATATTGGAATTTGAAAAGGTATTTAATCAATTTCCTTGCTAGAAACTAAGGTGAAAATGAAAACACGATGTAGTTTTAAAATTTTTATTTCATGTAAGGTAACAAGTTTGAATATTGTGGTAAAGAAAACTATGACCCTTCTACTCCTTCTAGCCCTGTGTACAATCACTTCAAATTACCAACAAAAATGTATCATGCCATAAAACTTCATTAACTCATTTCCATGTTGGATAATGTTCATGAAGACATGATTTCTCAAGTCTTAGAAATATTTAAAGTTACTGTTGACAATGTAGAGGTACAAGTTGGAATATTTTTGAATAAGAACTTAAATGCAACTGATTTTCATGTTACAAGCCATGCGAGTATTTATATGAGTGTCAAAATCTTGTACAGTTTTTCAAAAATCAGAATTGAGTGTTCAGTGTTTTATAGAATATATAAAAATACTAATTATTTCTTTCATTATAGACATCATGCCTAATTAGTTAATGAGATCTTTACTGGCAAAAGCTTGTATGTTTATGAGTGTAATTCAATGGATTTTTATTAACTTTAGCAACATGAAAAGGTCCTGAACATGTATAGTAAAATATTGTGAAAGAGAAATCAATTTCCAACATCTTTAAAAACCTTAAGCCCAGAGAGCAGCATTAGTTCCTTTCTAAATTCTACTCGATCTTTCTGCTAAATTCTACCATCTAAATGCAGCCCCTCAAAATAGCGGCGGTAAAACTTCTACTGCAAAATCATGATGATCAAGGAATAATAAATTTAGAAGGAGCTTAGTTTATCTATTAAGCTGATATTATAGCTTTAAGTAACTTTCCCAAAATTAAGTGGTAGAAGAATGTAAATCTCAACCAAGTACTTGTTTTAACACATCAGATCGTCTTGGTCCTGCCTGCTGGCTTTCATCCAGCATCACTTCTCTGCTTATTCTCAAAAATTTCACACTATCCATCCCTCAAGATCTGCTCTTTTGGCAGAGTTTATAACTATAAACTAAATTAAGCTGCTGATAGCTATTAAATTAAATTAAATTCATTCAACACTTTGAAATGTCTGTGTGCAGAGAATTGTGGTATGCAAAAGTAGTATAAGAATATTTATAAAACTTTGCTCTGGAGATGTTACTTTGAAAACTATAAAACAAAATTATGAAAATGTTGTCAAAACTGTATTCATAAGAGCTGATTGAATTCCAGGAAAGAATAATCAGAGGCAATAGATTTTTCAAAAGATCTTTTTTTCCAAAGAAATTTTCCTAGTAAACGTAATAATTAAACTGGCATTTGTCGTTCTGTCTTCTTTTTCTCACTTCCTTGTTCACTCAATTGCTCTCAGTTCATTTTTCTCACTACATAAATAATCACCATTTATTGTTGAAACATTAAGTAGAATAGTTGAGCAAAGATAAAATAAAAGGACATCTCACGGTTGAAAGGGTATATCATCTTCTGCATATCCTTTCTCAAAAATGTAAAGCTTATATGTAAGTTCAAGTGTTGCATTTTGAAAATGAAAGCACATGCAGCATGTTGCTTTGTAATTTATTCTTCTAACAATATTGTGTGACTACTTTTCTGTGTCTATAATTAGAGATTTATTTGCATTTAAGTTACATAAAATTCTACTCTATGGATGTGTCATAATTTATTTAATCATTTTGCTATTTTTAAACCTTAGTCAATCTCCAATTTCTTGCTAAAATAATTAAAACCTAAACATATATAAATATATATATAAATTCTTATATATACAACCTTGAACACTTGTCTAATTTTTTACTTAATTGAAAACAGTTTTGTTCAAATTTTTTGAGGTATAAATTATGTGTAAACTTATTTTCTTATCATAATACCAGAGAAGTGGAATTGCTGGGTCAAAGGATATAAACTGTTGTATGAGTTTTAATGTATATTGACAAACTGATTGCTAGAAATGTGTCAATTGATAATGTCCTGAGAATGAAACTTATTTGTCTATTTGCACGCTACTGGTGCATATAAGCATAATTTTTTTTTGTACCTGGAATCAAACTCAAGACCTTGTGCTTGTGAGGCAGGCAGCAGCACCACTGAGCTAAATTCCTGGCCCCATAATTTTTAATCATACCACACTGTTAGAGAAAACATAGCACTTACTTTTATTTACTTATTTATTTACTGGTACTGGGGATTGAACTCAGGACCTTGTGCTTATGAGGTAGGCATGGTGCCAGTGAGCTAAATTCCCGGTCCAAAACATAGTACTTTCAAAATTTCTGTTGTTTATTTGGGATCTTGTGACGTTGAACATCTTTTCATATGTGAATTTAATCCAATTCCATTTAAACTGCTTCTTTTAATTGACAATATATTTCCTTCAATTAGCTACCATTTGGGCATTAGTCTGTTTCTTTTTTGGTTTTTTGTTTTGTTTTGTTTTGTTTTGGTGCCGGGAATTGAACTCTGGTCCTTGCGCTTGCACAGCAGGCATCGAAACCACTGAGCTAAATCCCCGGCCATTAGTCTGTTTCTTATGGACTTATAAGGATTACTTGTATATTAAAGTCATAATTGATGTGTATCAATTGTCATTAGCCATTGTCTTTTAAGTATGGTTTTTATTTTATTTCATATTTTTGATTCATATAGTCTATTAAACTCTTCTATGGTTTCTGCTTTTGGTATTGTACCTCAAAGATATCATATCTGCCTTTTTCCTAATAATTATTTTCTTTTCATTCATTTTGGAGTTTATATTGACTTAACAAATGAAATGTAGTTAAATTTTATTTGAAAAATTTCCCCAAGTGCTTTATTTTTCCTTATTATTATCACAAGTTTTACATAGATTTTATAATTTCTATTATAATTTTATTCCATGATCAACCTAATGTCAGTATCATAATTATTTATTAATTCTTGTTTAAAACTTTTGGTACCATACTTATAATAATTTTATAAAAGGAATTAGAAAACATATGTTTTTTAATGACTAGAGAAAGGAAATATTGTGCTTTATCCTTCACTTTGACTTGCCGTTTTTATTTAGGACACTAAATTTTGTGTTATATTTAAATGAGATTAATTCATTTTAAATGCTATATAATATTTCTTTCACAGTATATAATTTGTTACCTTATCGTTTTAGTAGTTTCTCAAATGCATTTCGTGCATTTAGCAAGATGATTTTTTCATTTTTTGTTTTTAAGAGGTTAGTGGAGTAAATCACACTGGTAGACATTCTATTGATAAACTACTTGCATGATTGCATAAATTCTACATAGTCATAATAATATTTTCTATATGGCTGAGTTCAACTTAATGATATTTTATTGAATATTTTTACATCTATATTCTCCAGGGAGGTTTCCTGTTTCATAATATCCTTAATTTTTGGTATTGGGATCTTATTTTCCTTAAGGAATGAGTTTGGAGCATTCCTCTTGTTCCTTTTTCTGGAAGAGAAATTTTAACTCTTGTCTGCTCCTTGATTTATGGTAAAATTGCCTGTAAAATAGGGTGTTCTTTTAGTTGTTATTTGTTTTGGAGAGGTGTGGCTGCTTGAATCATGGTAGAATTGCCTGTAATACTGTGTAAACTTTTGTTCTGGTTCTTGTTTGTTTTGGGGTGGAATGAAAGATTATTTAAATTACTGACTTGAATTCCTTAATAGTTACAGATCTAGTCAAGTTTCTTTTAATTTTTTTCTTAATCAAATTAGTTAGATAAATTATATTTTTCTAGGAAAGTTTATTTTATTTGTTTCAAGTATTTATTAGCTTTATTTTTTGTAGTTTTATTAATTTTTCTTATTACATGTTTGCAGTACAAAATGATTACATTCATCATGGAGTGTTGGTACAAATACCTAACACATCTCAATCTTGTAAATGTCTGATCTATAGGCTTTTTAAAGAGTTTTAATATTTTATTACTTGTGTGTTTTTAAAACTAATATAATTTGAGATAGAACATCAATTTTATTAATTTTTTCAAAGAATCATTTTTATCAATTTTCTTAAAGAATCATTTTGGCTTTGTTTACTGGTCTTTTTGTCTTTTGATGTCTGATAGATTATCCTCAGAATTTAGTGGCTAAAAACAACCACCATTTCATAACATCTCATGATTTTGTGCATCAGGAATTGAGGTAAAATTTTCCTGGATCATGGTTTTGTTCCATGTGCTATTGACTGGGTTTACATGACGGCATTCAGATGATGGTAGTTTAATCTGAAGAGTCCAAAATAGCTTTCCTCATACACCTGGTGCCTTGGTAAGGACATTTGTATGGATGAGCTCAGCTGG